TAGGCAGGGGTGAACATACACTCTAAAAAATGCTGGGTTAAATATAACCCAGCATTTTTTAGAGTGTAAGTTTTTCAGCCTGGTTCTCATATGAGAACCTGGAGACTTGGTTGTGACCCATCAAATATAACTATAAAAAATAAATTAATAATAGTGATAATATTATTGCACTTTATTTATTTATTTTAAATAAAATAATAAACTAAATAATAGTGTGAATATACTATTTTATTTTAAAATAAAAAGGGAGTATTAAATACAAATACAATTATTTTATAGTAATCTTAAAATAAAATGCTAATATTTTTATCATTATTATTTTAATTTGAACCTTAATTGTTATTTTTAATTTGAATTATTTTAATTTTTCATTTTCAAACTTAAAATCAGCAAGCTTTTATTTTGGCGGGTTGCCGGCAAGTAAGTACATGCGCTTCCGGGTTCCGGGTTTAACGCTGCCGATTGTAGAGCGTCAGTGAATGAAATGTCAGTTTTGCATTGTGCTTTGAAAATGTTAGCGGGTAGCCTAGATTTATGCTTTCAGTGTGAATAGAAATCTTATACAGTACAGTCGATCTAAAATGGTAATTGTGCATTAACAGCTGTCAACCATGTCAGTACGCAAACGCGCGCTCTGAACTCACACAGCGCATTTCTTATTTTGGTCGCGTTGGTCGCGCTGCGGACCACTTATCTGCGCCCGTTTATAGGTACACTATAATTACAGAAACGTACACCCAGTACACCCACCGGGAAGTAGGGGTGCTGAGGGGGCTGCAGCACCCCGTTTTCACATGGTTGCAAATGCAACGCCAAGTTTGTTCATTTAAATGTATTCAGTTTTAGCATTTAATAATTTATTTGTAATGATCTCTGAAATGTAAATTGTAAGTGGGCTATAATAAACCCATGTTTATCTTTATAAACATGATTAATTTTACTTGTGATGTTTTCTATATGGGATGATTAGCCCAATCCTCATGAACACGTGACGCTGGCGCGTGGTATCAGACATGAACTGTACAGAATGCGAACAAGATTAACTTTAATACAAGGAGATAATGGCGCAAAAGAGAATTTCAGGTTTTTTTAAATGCCCATCCCAGCAAAAACTTTACAAAATCGGCATCCAAACAACACCAGCCCCAGCACGAGCACCGACGTAAATGAACCAGCCCCCCCAAACCCCCTTCCACCCAACACGGACACACACAGCACCCCCAACCGAAAACATCTTCCCGCGCCCCTGGAGGTAGATGTTGTATTTTGTTAGTAAATGTTTCATTATATAGTGTTGCCTCCTTCGTTCACTATTACACTACTGCATATATTGCATCTGATACTCTTGTCGCCTAGTTTTGTAACGTAAGCCCACACTTTCAAACGTTTCACTCTTGACGCGATGACTGATCGCACACAAAGACACACAGCACATGTGCATGGATATCACGCGCACGTCGAGCAAAGGTCGGCCACATCATTCAAGTGAAGGAAAATGACAAGCATCAGTTTCTAATTCGTTGTTAAAGGGATAGTTCACCCAAAAATGAAAATTCTGTCATTAATTACTCACCCTCATGTCGTTCCAAACTCGTAAGACCTTCGTTCATCTTCGGAACACAAATTAAGATTTTTGATGAAATCAGAGAGCTCTCTGACCCTCCATAGACAGCAGCACAACTGTAATGTTCCCAGGTCCAGAAACATAGTAAGGACATCGGTGGTGCAACTTCAATTTTGCGAATCTACGAGAATACTTTTTGTGCGGAAAGAAAACAAAAACAACATAATTTATTCAACAATTCTTCTCC